CAATTCCGGAGTTTGCCCGTGGAACATTTTATAAGAAGATGAGCGTCCTTCTCCGGAGCGTATAGAAAGCGACACTGTGTCCATATCGTATTTTAGGTGCCAAAACAAAGAGAAAATAATCAGTCACAATGATTTTATGATCGTGTTAATGTCAAGTCTATCTTTTCGGACGCACATGCAGTTACTACCTTTGTGCAGAACGTAACGACGATGTAGAGTGCCGATTTGGCCTTGCGGTGCGTCACCGGATGTACAAGTTAGTGGATGCTTCTGTCCTTCCCAGCACGAGAATATGATCTGACCAGGACAGATGAAAGACCGGTTGGTATGGATGGTGTACGATCAAGAAATTTCGGATCCGACCTGCATGGTTTGGTGTCCGCATTTACCACCAAAACTTCCTCCCGAATACACATTGAGACATACCAAAAATAGGGAGGAAGCGCGGCAGAGACATATCGGGTTGGGCAGATGAAACTGGGATTCCAACCTGAGGCTCTTTTCGGCTACTTGCTGCCAAGGTTCAGAAGGTCATGTAGCGTATGTAGTACATTGACTTATGGTGTACAATGTATTTTTGCTGCCATTTCGGATGAATATACTTTCTAAGCCAAATTCTAGGGTATAACATTTAACCTTTCACATCGAAAAAAGCTCGGCTCCTTTCCTCTGCCTCAAATTGCTTCTCGGATGAGGGAGATGATTCAACGCTTACCGAATTTCGTGTAGGGCGATCTTTCTGCTTACTGCAATTGATGGCGGACTTTACCATGGAAGGCAGCCCATTGAAAACTCAAGTTAGAGATGGTCAAGGATTCACGAAGAAGAAAAAAAAGCTGAAACGACCTAAAATTGAGAAATAAGACCTCTCCCTGGGCCGCTGATCTTTCTGCATTTGACGCACTACCTCGGTACTACCTTCCTTCACGCTAGCGCTCTCTCTGGCTGAACGGCTATAGGCTAGAAGTGTGATGCGGGGCGCCGTTTAGAGCGAAAAGCTCCACGCGCGCGAGGATCATACTACAGGGTGTCCAAAATTATGAGCCCGCCAAAATTCCGAAATTTTTCTTTTGCAAAAGTTACTCGATTATAATACGTTTCATTTGCTGGATGATGTAGCTTACAACACCAAAGGTCCTTGTAACTTTTGATTGTAGTGTGAAATCCCCACTATGTTATTATTCAGGAAAACGAGGAGGTCGTTTCACTGCGACTGCGATCATTCGAATGCACGAGAGTGGATACCCAACTGAAGGCACAATGTCAAATATTGTAGTTTCCACAAGAGTATACGGAAAGTTATCCTGCGTATAAAGGAAACAGCGTCCATTATGCAAGGCCTGTAAGAGGGGTAGAAGGGCTGCCGTTTAGCCGGAAGGCGAGCGAATTGGCAATAAGCCAGAAAGATTGCATTTTGGGCAGAATTGTCAAGGGAGTCCTACTCCACGCTAAAGATTGGCCAAATCACGATTTGGGTCTCAATTTCGGTTTAAGGAACACCACGTCCAGCGGTAAGTTGGCCGTTAGTTTTCCTTTTATTTTCGCGTTGAGGGTTAATCAACAAATCCGGGACACTCGAAGGTGAAACGTTAATGCATGGCTCGGCACGAGCCTACCTTGGAATAGACCCGATGTTGTTACCAGCAGAAAAGTGCTCAGGCTTTACATGGCCAAGCTCCTCCAATGCGTGACCGAGTTTCAGTTGCCCGACTTTGCGCCTGGCACGCAGGAACCGGCCGTCATTTTCACCAGGTTGCGCCACCTCACTGCTTTAGTGTGGTCGGTGAGCGAACAGTAAGGTGTATCACAATTCCTTTCCGCCCCCCACAGTCGATGTCACTGGAAGAACATTGAAGGAGCCCGAGAAGAAATTTAGACGAGAATTTCCTGGTGAAACGGTGCGCGAAGCTGAGAGCGACTGCGGAGTTGCATAGTCGCGTTGGAGGTATTTACGATATTAAGGTTCTTCACATTCGTGAGGATGATGCAATTTTACATTATGTGTAATTCTGTCGGCATCGCTCATGTGTAAAAGCTTGAAATATATTGTGTGTGTAGGCGCCAGTAATTTTGCGGGGACACCTGTAGATCGCCAGAGGTATAATCCCTCCGATGCGGATGGTGCCGATCGAGACAGGGGGGTATACCTCTGGGCGATCCTTTAGGAGGCGCCTGTCTCCCCACTAGGTAAGTTCCCCTTGAGCTTATCGTTAAGGATCCCCTCAAGCATGAGCTCAAGTTTAGGAAGATTGTCTTGGATTAGTTTTGCCGTGAATGCTTCGAGGTGGTCTTTGGCCTATTGGAATATCAGAACGCTTTTTTTTGAAGAGACGAGTGGCATCGTCCTTCTGTAGCGCCGGAAAGCCGGACTATTGTCAGTATAGCGGGATTGTTTATGGTGATCTGCCCTGCATCCAGAAGCATAAAGATTAACTGGCTTGTCAATTCTTAACCAGAACCGCGTCGCGGTTTCCAATTCTGTACAGATCAAGTTGCGGGGACTGACAACGCCAGGGGCGGGGTTAAACGGGACCGTGACCCAAAGCGTCCTTCTGAAATATTCATATAAGCTTTACAGATCTATTCCTGTTTTTCTTTACTTCAATTTTTTCATACGCTCATTAATTCTTACCACGATGTGATTTGATGCCGTTTCCAACGGACATGATACCGCGTTCTGCTATCTCCTTGCTGGACATTTTTTATTTTAATTTTAGTCGGTTTTGGGTTCAGAAGGCTGAAACTTCTCATTCATTCATGGACTGTGAAAATGTCCGGGCAAGCGCAGAGATGCTTGAAATGCGATGAAAAAACATTCGAAGTTAAATTTTTCTTGTAGATGGCAGCGGACTTGGTTGTCCGTTTTTAACCCCCACAAAGCAAGAGAAAAGTTGAAAGGTCAAAAATATTCGAGAATTCTCTAGCATTTGCAAACCCTTGTTTGGAAAGTACATTAAATCTCGAGATGCAGATAATCAATTTAAGATAACCATCTGGCATCCCCTCGTAAACTCGTCCATTTCATTCTGTCTTCACTCCAAAACTCTTCGCTCTCACCAATCCCACTCCGCGCAAATATGCTGATCGTGTAATCTTCTCATCGATATGCACATCTCAGATCTCGTCCCAAGATTTGCAAACACAGCAGTTATCGCGTCACTGGATTTCTGTTGTTGTCTTCAACATGCGATCAGCACTGGCAGTTGGCCTCGTCCTGCTTCTGGTCAGTGAAACGGCTATCGCTTGCGTAGATGTACTGTTTGTGTTGGATCCAACGTCGGAGGTGAGCTTTCAGAGATCGTTCTTTGTTCACTATGGAAATTAGGCTTCCTCGCATGTGGATGCAGATTCAATTTACCAATTTTGGATTCCTTTCTTTGAAAAAGTGAGACCCTGCGGCCAACAATTTCTGGCTGACTGGATTACTTGGTTGTTGCAATATAAATGTACCATATTTACTAATAGCCCCCTGGGCAGCTTTTGAATCTCCGGAGGTGAGGTCTAAGAGTAAAAAATGAGAATTCTTTGGCCATTTGTTGCTTTTTTTACTTGAGTTTTTCCTTAAAGCGAGGGATTACGATAAGATTGGACGGAATTCATGGTGGAAGTGGGGATGCTGAATAATGCGCTAGTGACGAAAAAAGCAAAGAAATCCGTCGAGAACGCGCGAAATGGGAGCCCCTTCTTTGCCCGTTGACCTCCGATAGTGAACGAGCTAGCAACCAAACAAGTGGACTTTTGCACATGGTCAACTGAAAACCGCTATCGTTCAGCAAAGACTATGCTTTGGTTGACAACGCATCCTATGGGAAGGGTACAGGGTACGCGATCGAAGTGGAATACCTCATCCAGATGATAATCCAAGGGCAGCTGCGGGGGCGGAGCACAGGCGGTGGTAGGGCTCAGAAAGGAATGGCAAACCCAGTACTCTGCAGCAAGCGCACCTTTGTCCACAAAACGCCACATTTCGCTCCCATCGGTCCTTGACTACTGCCTCCACCGGCGCATGTACGTCCACGCTGCACACACACTTAATCGCGATCTCTCACTTTAACAGTGACTAAGAGTGTGAGTGTGCACGTCAGTACGACATCTTAAGGACATCTTAAGGAACTGAATCTAGTTCAAACGGTTACGGTAGGCTTTTGCGAATGAGGAGCCACCTATATCAAGCTGTGCACAGACTCGGCAAACAATACATTTTAACGACTACATGAAGTAGGGACGGGCAAAGGTGTTTATCATGGAAAAAGTCATCAGTGAAAAGTACGAGACCGGAATGGAAACCTTTGAGTCTTCCGCTAGACTGCTCTTGCCACAGCTTTGCTCAATGAACTTCTTAAAAACTCCGAGACGTGTTAAAGGTGGACAGGGACGCATCTTATAGAAGGTCAACAGTGCTAGATCCTGGCCTGAAAAAGTTAAGCTTCTCCTGACCATTAATAGCATCCCAGGATAACTTCAGCAAACGCGAGTGGTGAGCAGGGGAGACGGTCAATTCAATCGTCGGCCAATGAGGTCACGCCGCTCACGCGGCAAGCAGCGTCGCGCGCGGCAAATGGAGTGGCAATTTTGTATGGGCCTTGGCTTAACGGTCCTTGTCCATAATTTGCTGATGTGGTTAGGTGAGCAGTAGAACCTGAGCTAGAAGTCTGAGCTGAAGTGCGCAGCAGCGACAATGGTCAGGTAGAAGACACGTACGACTGCAGGCAACATAGCGCCGACGAGCAAGAATATCGGCTCCGGTTACATTTGAAACAACTAACTCTCGAATAGTGTCTTCAGGATACTTGAGGAGCCTGCAGTCGCAGCGAAGTCGGCGAGAAGGAAGAGTGAGTCAAGCAGAGAGAGAGAGTAGTCTTTTGCATAATACTATTTATGTGTGACTTGATTCGAAAAAAGCTACTTAGCGCGGAAGCGGAGGTGCAGAGAGCAAACTTAGCCCCTACAAAAAGCTTGGCTTTTCTGAAGACTCTTTTGGATACACATATCATTTTTAGCGCTCACGACCCCGTTCTACGAAGGTGGCAAATGAGCTGGCAAAGCGAAGTGGATTACGAACCTCAGTAGCCGTGCGACGACATGAAGGTCGTTATGTTTTCATGATGGCGAAGGTAACCTTTAAACAAGCAAGTAGCAATTATATAACCAGGGAATAGTTTTGACCTTGCTTCTTGAATAGACGTCAGCTGATCTGATTGCGACGCTGGACACGGTGGACGGTGACTATGAACGATACTTAAGCATGGTAACGTCCGAAATCATGCGACGGCAAAATGGTACGATTTCTGAGGCAATCATATAGGACACTTCTAATCTCTCTGCTTTCAGACCGCCCTTTGGTGATATTGCTGTTTTCTGAGGCGGTAGTGAACACTACGTTGTCGACAAAATGGAAGGACCTCTCGCGTAGCACTAATATTCATGTGTTCAGAGTTGGAACAGCCAAACCGACCAAGTTAGCATAATAACATAATCATCACATCATTATCACATAAGAAGTGATAAATGACCTAAATACTGACAACCCGAAGCAAGGAAAATTTTCGAGCGTATCAATTACACTTTCCACGATCAGGTAAGCTTGAGTAAAGTCAAGCACGAGATAAGCACACAGAATGTGCTGAATTAGCTGCACGAAACAACCATTTAGGAGTGCTGAGGCTCAAGAACGTTCGGGGTTTTACCTGGTGTTCCTGGTCTCGCTCGGGATTTGACATCATGGGCTAAGTCTGCTCTCGCTCATATTCATGCCCTCTCGCCTTCAGTTTTCTTCTCCCTCTTCCCCGTCTCATTTTCCGCTCTTGAAATCCTCCTCGGCCAGGGGAGAGGCCTTCGTTTCCAAAGCTTTTGATGAGTTGCTTTCCTTGTTCTCCATTTCTGCTCAAATTTTCACTTCTACTTCCATATTAGGGAGACCACCATATTTGCTAAACTATGTGATGTGCTTTTGAAAACGACGCAATCAAAATTAAAGTTGCACTTTTCACCTCATTTTTGACCGTACATAGCAATAACAGCAGTGGTCATAGGCTATAATTTCGCTGAATCATGTTTTCAAATCAAATTTTCCAGTGAGCTCTCCAACGAAGGCGAATCTTTCGAGGATATCCTTGCCTGCAGTGCGGTCAAGAAGGTCAGCACCAAACAGTTTATTTTCATGTGACACAAGGAAGAATGAAATGGTATCACTAGTTATACCACCTCTCGCGTGGTCCACACATAGGGACCAAATGGGTGATTTCTGAGCGAGTATTTGTCCTGAACTACATAATTGTAAGGGAAGCTTAACTAAATAAAGAAGATGTCTATATCAATACGATTGGCCTCTAGCGACAAGCTCCAAACTGCACTTATACTTTGAAGTTCTCCGCTTCAAATGAAGGACATGATAACTGAACTTTTTTCATTCCTTAAATAATTTGGAACAAATATGAAATGCGTTAAAAAGTGATTTCAGGAAACAGCAGACGTTCGCAGACAACAGGTCAATCTCGAACAGATCAATACCACTACACTTCGCCCACGAATCATACCATTTTCAAAAACGACGAGGCCACCAACTACCACGAGGTAGTAGATAATTTTTTTCCATTTAAATTACCTCATAAAAATAGGGCTCGGAGAAGGGCTGAGGGATGATTCAAAAAGTTCGGGCGGTTCGTAGCGCATGGTTCCTACAAATTCGCTAATCATAAGCCAAAATGCCTAAAGGAGGATTCTACGATAAGAACTAAGGTGGAAGGAGCGGAAATTGCCTATTGGGGGAAAGGTGGACCTCCTGAGGGTGCGGACCGACACGCATTTGTCAGCGAATGATTTGACGTAGGTAATCTGGCAGGACTCACTCTTGGCGCAGTTGGCGCGGTACGCCCATCGAATCTCGTACCACTCGCCGCAAGTCAATACTTGGGGAGTAATTAGATAGCAGAGAGAGCACTAGCATCGAAGAGTGCATGACAAGCAAGTCGCATCAATGCGGAAATCATCGGGCTAGGAATGGGTCCTATTTCTTGTGTTCTGGGCCGATTCTGATGATTTTCCCTTCTTTCTTGAACCACTCACCATTTTTAACCTAATTTGAAGTAGGTTGCTTTTTAATCGTTCTGCCTTAAAGGGGTATTTCACGATGAAAAAACAACCTGTTAGAAATCAAGGTAGAGCACATCAGTGATTTGAGGAAGAAGAATAGCCTCTTCTTTGCCTAGTGATTTCCGGCGGCATTCATGCGATCACGGTGCTGCTCGCTTCAACGCTTAAGCTCTCCCTGCTTAACGGCCAGAAGTCGAGACAGGAGAGCGGAATGACCGCGCCAATAGTGCACCAATAGCGCCGCAGGGAGGGCCAGATTGCCGAGGACATATCCTTCGCTGCGAATTTCGTGTCGGTCGGCACCCTTGGATGGTCCCCTGTCGTCCTACTAGGTAAAAAACCACTCATTCGACCTTCGATTTTATCGATGAATCCTTCAACGACTCTGTGGCAACGCTTAAGCGCCGAACCCTTCATTTGTCACTATTCCAGTAGTCCGTCTTGCTCGGAAACATTACATTGTAGAAGTGAAATATTTTAAAGATACAAGTATGAGCTAACATCATTTAGACCGGCGACCGTACCCGGCCCGAAGGTTCGTCCCGTCTATCGTCGAAAGGACAACGAGGAGGAACTGGAGAAGGTGGCCACACGTGACGTGCATCCAACGCCCCAACCACTGGTCCAGACGTCTTCTACTCCATCTGAACCACCATCAGCATTCACTGAGAACAACACGGCAGATGTCACCAAACGCACAGCCAACCTCGAGCAGCCCAGCACTACCACCGCTCGTCCACGAATCATACCGTTTTCGAAAACGACGAGGCCACCGACCACCAGAAGGCAAGAGATTCTTGGTTTACATGAAGTTATTCAATAAAACAAGCGGAATAGTGTTGAAAATAGGAGGGAGGGCTCACTTCCCGGATGGGTATCATAAGGCATAGCGTAGCACAAAGCAAAAATCCAGGGCAAAATTGAAGTACTTAAAATTTAAGAGAAACAAATTCAGGCCGGTGACCGTACCCAGCCCGAAATTTCGTCCCGTCTACCGTCGAAAGGACAAGGAAACCGAACCGGAGAAAGTGGTCGCACATGAGGAACTTCCAACTCCACGGCCCCTGGTTCACGATTCCTTAGCGCCATCTCAGCCACCAGCAACAACCAGGTGGGACGTTTACTAAGAAATCAGTCGTTTACTATCGTCGTCCTAGTTACTACCTCACTTGATGCTGTCGATCAGATAACTTCACGTTTTTATTTATTTTTACCTCGCATCTCCCTTCAGCTCAGCTATTCTAAAAGATCAATTTTGTGATGGTATTTTCATCCAGTTTCCAGAGCAACTGTTAGAGGTGATCGTCCGCCAATCCACACTGCAGTGTCCACTTCATTCATCGAAATTCATACAGCATCTACACCCGCTCCTCAAACCTTTGGACCAATACTTAATCAAAGGTATATTATACTTTTTTTTGCGAATCCTAATTAGGTTAGATACATGAGCATTTTGTCGCCTACTCACTAGCAGTAAAAATCAGCAGAGGTGGGGCACTAACAAGAGGTGTCTCTTGTCACCATAAAGGTCCTTGAATCAAGCCTCTGCCCATACCGACCACGCCTTCTGTCATGCTGAGGTTTCCCATTCAACACGCACACACCAGTGGCGCCCTCAAGGCATGTCAGGGCGTGCGCTGCAGGACGATATGGGCTGATATTGATGGTACCGGCTGATATTCGCTTGCCATTCACTTGTACCGTATATGGGCTCTTGATATCTCAAAAAATTGTTTAGAAACTACTATGCAACAGTGAAAGAAAAAGAGAAATCATCCACAAAAATTTCAAATAGGTCAGAAAAAACCTTTCCAAAGTAAAGCATATCAAATCTTTCAGTGGACCCTATTCTTTATAACTACGGCTATAAACCTATAGCTAGCAAAACATAGAACAGGGTTCACTGAGTGTTTGACATGCTATTTAGAAGTTTTACTGATCTGTTTGCATTTTGGTTCGGTTTTCTTTTCTTTTTATTGCCATAAAGATGTGGATGAAAAGCTTAACTAGAAGGAAGGACAAAGCTCTGTGGATGGGAGGATAAGTGTTCAATGGAAACAATCGAGGTAGAAATGCATCTAACTTCTACTGCAGCAAGAGTGTGAATAAATGTTACCTTACCCAATTCGTTATCTTTTTTTATCCTTCCTCCGAAACTTGAGGATTGGCTCTGTTCTTAATTGGGACCATCGTGTATCGAACAGGGAGAAGCTTAGATGGTTTCCGGAGCTCGCAGCTTCTCCATGTTCTGCCCGACAGGATTTAAAGCGAGGGATCACGATAAGATTGGAGTGGGTTCATGGTGGAAGTGGGGATGCTGAACAATTCCCCAGTGGCGAAAAAAGCAAAGAAATCCGTCAAGAAGGCGCAAAATGAGACCCTTTTCTTTGCCCGTTGATCCGATAATAGCAATAGCAACTGATTAAAAGGTCTTTTACATATGTTGGGCCGATAGTCACCATCATACCAGCAAAGGCCATGCTTTGACTGGTAACGCGTTCCATGGGAAAGTCATAGGATACGCACTCACAGCGGAATACCTCATCAAAACGATAATGGAAGCAGCCCGCGGCGGGAGGCGGGGCACAGGGCGTGGCGGAGCTCAGAAAGGTATAGCAAGCCCAGTACGCTGCAGCTAGCGCACATTTGTCCACAAAAACGCAACATTTCGCTTCCCTCGCCCCCTGACTACTGCTTCCACTGGTTCATGTACTTCCACACTGCACACTTTATCATAATCTATCGCTTTATCTGAGAATTTAATTGAATAGCTTAATCCTGCTTTTAGAGCTACTACTCCTCGAACCCATGTTCAACCTGCTGTGGCCACTTCGAGGCCAGTCAGAGTCACAACAACCACAGCAGTCGATCGAACACCACCAGGTTGGTCAGTTGCCATACAGAACAGGATATTTCGGGGCAACTCACCACAGCAGCACATACGCCATTGGTTCTTGAACGGCATTCCACTGATAGCAATATAATACCAACCAATAACAAGGACTACTTGTTTAAGGCTGCATCGCCGATATCGCCTTCCTTATGGATTTCTCAGATGGTACTGGAGACAAAAGCAAGGAGTCAGTGATAATCAGCTGTTTCGTATTTACAAGATCAACTACATTTATTCGAAAACATTTCGAACTTGTGGAAATCCAATCAGTTCAAATTCAAATTACTGAAAAATTCAATGAAACTGGAAACCTGAGGCTGACGTTGCAGATATCTCGACGTCGCAGCGGCTGCTGTGGGACGCCTGCCAATCTCAGAACATGCCGTACGCGTAAGTGACCACTACATAGTTACATCTTTGTGAATCGGTTCAAGAGGGGACACCTGGAGTAGGAACTTCTCTATACCGGTTCTCACCTACTGGATCTCACCTTCTTCTCCTTCTTTTCTCCAATGATTAGGGTGGTTCACTTTGGCACATCACAAAAGCCTGTTCACCGTGGATCTCGAGGTCCACTTTCACCAAAACCAATGGGTCAGTTATCTATTTCAGTTGCATATTTATATGAAATTGTTCAGGTATCGCTTATAAGATTTTCGGGCCCTGGTCGCACAGAAACGTTGTTCCACTTCGACAAGCACGCCAACAAGGACGATCTGATAGAGTTGGTGATATTTTCAATAAGAGATGGATAGATGAAACGGATTAGATAAACATAGCGTTCAAGGGAGGGCGTCCTAACAGATTCGGGTTTGTCTAGGTCGATCATATTCTGGGCGGGCTGGCTGTTGCAAGAAATACTCAAAGAAAATGAAGGACCAGGCAAACATTCCCTTTTTTGGGGTCATTTCGTAATTTCGTTGAAAACTCTGAAATTTCTATGAAATGATAGCAAAATGAGAAAGTAACAATAAAAACCCTTCACAGAAACCATTGAATCGTAATTTATCCCTCGATTTGTACATATATGTCTACAGCTACATGGTGGTGTTTGAATGAGGGTGCCCCGATGGAGCAGAAGAGGTGACAAGATTAGAAGATAAGCCTGTTTGCGTTGAAGTGTAGTGCATATTAAAAGCGAACAGTCTGCGGGTATGTTAGACACATCGAGCATCATTGAAAATATACTATCGCATCTAACAATAAAAATGCGTATTTGCAACTCCAAATCCACCGAATTGAATCGCTAAAGCACTGGTCCCACGCAACCAGAAAAACCAAATGCGCGATGTCGTCAATGTGTTAACGAAATATTTGCCTGCAAAGCTGCCTGAAAAGTCGGGAAGGGTGTCGTATTCAGAGAGTTGTTTCATCTTTTCTCAGAAGGTGATGTGAGGTGCTCATTAAGCGCAGAGTATTTTATCAACTTCTAGCGAACTGTCGAATTCGAAGCATATACCTCACGCTTGAATGCCATGACTTTTCATGGGTGCTGAAGGGAGGGCTAAGACGACTTATTCGACCGACGCACGAAACTTGCTTGAAAACTCAAGTCATACGAGAAATCAATGCTAATAGAGTACTTA